TGAATATTAATTTTTGTAGTAGACATAATTAATCATAAATTTACCCATTTAATATTACACACATACTCATAATTGTTGATTAAAGTTTAAGCAATTTCGATCTCAAAAACTTAATAGTCCAAAATTTCAAAGAAAATATCTTTTTATTTTATATATATAATAAAATATATTATTTTTTAATTTTTCGGACTTGAAGATCATAATTGAATCAATTTAAAACGAAAATTATTAATTTATATCACTACTATATAATTTTGTTGGTACTCTTACCATGTATGTGTATGTTTTTTTTTAGATAACTAATGTTGCTGCAAAATAGAGAACCTTATGGATGATTGTGAATGAGAATTTTCTTATTCAATTTATTCTCAATTTCTTGTCTATTCAGTATGAGTCATTTAGAAAATTAACATTATTAAGACAAGTGGAAAGTGATTTAATTGACCATTATGTTAATTTAGGAGGAGATAAGGCTTAAGTAGCAAGATAATCATTATGTTCATCTGATAACTCAAGAAGTTATAAATAAATTTTGAGAATATGTTTGAAAAAGGCATTAAGTGAGCAACACCCTAAATTAAAAGATTTAAGTCAATCTATTAAAAGAAAGGAATGTAATAATGAAAAAGTGTCATTAATGTATTGAACACTTTTAGAAAGATTACATGAAATATAAAGAATGATTTGAAAAAGAATGATAAGTTTTTGGTTTTTGTATATTTCGAATTACTTATTGAAATTTTTTCTAATACATGATGGTTGACTTAAGTACTAATGTTTATGTTTCTAATAGATACAAGAATTTCTTATGGCCTAAACCACAAATTCAAATAAGAATTTCTTATTTATGATAATTAGGAAAAAGTTTTGTTAAAACCATTGTGACATTATGTTTAATGTTAGACAGTGGATTTTATTTAAATTATTTTAAACTTTTTATGTTTATTCAATTTCCTATAATTTGATTTTATTTCAAAACTTTTTGTTAATGGTTTTTCATTTAAATTTGATAATGATGTTTATTCAAGAAATTCTAATTTGTGAGTTATGGTATTATTGTTGATGATTTCTGTAAATTCAAATTTGATAGTTTATTTATTAAAAAACCTTTTGATCTTGCATCATAATGTTAGAATTAAGCATAACTCAATTAATAGAAAATTTATCTTTCTTGTGGCATAAAAGATTAGGCCAATATCTAGTGAAATGTTGAGAATATTAGTAAAGGATGTGATTATTCTGAATCTAAACTTTACTGATTTTGGTGTGTGTGTGGATTGTATTAAGGGTATACAAACCTAACACACAAAGAAATGAGCCACAAAAAGTAAATAGCTTCTTAAAATTATTCATACAGACATTTATAGACTCTTTTTTTGGAGGAGAAAAGTATTTTATCGCCTTTATAGTTGATTTTTCACATTATGGATATATCTATTTATTGTATGAAAAATCTCAAGCAGTGGGTACTCTTGAAGTATACATAAATGAGGTCGAAAAATAATTAGATATAAAGGTGAAAATCATAAGGTCATATAGAGGTGGTGAATATTATAGAAAGTATGATGAAACAGGTTAATACTCTAACCGTTTGTTAAACTCCTTGAAATATATGTCATTTGTGCTCAATACACTTTGCTATACATGCCACAGTAGAAGCGTGTAGCTGTAAAGCGTAATCGTACTCTTATGGAATTGGTTAGGAGTATATTAAGTAATTCCTCGTTACCAATAATGTTTTAGATATTAAGTAATCTAAAGGGTACAAATTTTACTATCCTAAACATAGTACGATAATTATTGAAATCGGTAATGACAGATTCATTAAGAATGGTGAAATCAGTGAGAGTGATAAAAATAAGAATTTAATTATTCCAGAAGTTAGGGTACAAATCTCTTTACCCATAACTTCTAAGGAAATAATTATTCCTTCAGTTGTTGAACCGTATAACAACGAAGAACAATTGAATGATCAACAACTCTATAATGAGATTGTCACCAATGAATAGATTGTAGAAGAATTATAAGGAATAACATTAAGACGATCTCAAAGAGAAAGGAGATCTGCTATTCTGGATGACTATGTGATATATCTGCAAGAATTTGAATTTGATATAGTGAGATATATACGGATCCGGTTACATATTTACAAGCCATTAACAGTAATGATTTTACTAATTGGATTAGTGCCATGAATGAAGAGATTATAAAGAAACCTTCTCTCCAGTATCTAAGAAGGAATCTTTTAAAAATATCATGGCATTAGTAACTTATTATGATTTAGAGTTACATTAAATGAATGTGAATACAACTTTTGTGAATGGGAGTTTATAAGAGAAAGTCCATATGGAACAACTTGAAGGCTTCACATTAGAGGGTAAAGAATTCATGGTCTGTAAACTTAAGATGTCAATATATGGATTTAAACAAGCTTTCTAACAATGGTATATTAAGTTTAATGATACCATTATTTCTTTTGGTTTTAAGAAAAACACTGTTAATCAGTGTGTATACTAGAAGGTTAGTGGGAGTAAGTTTATATTTCTATTCTATATATTGATGATATTTTATTTGCTAGTAGTGATCTTAGTTTATTATATGAAACTAAAAGTTATCTCTAAGAACTTTGAAATGAAATATATGGATGAGGCATCCTACGTGATAATAATAAAAATATTTCATAAGAGATCACGTGAATTTTTAAGATTAGCTCAGAAAACAAATATTGAAAGAGTTCTAGAAAGATTTGGTATGGAACATTATTCAATTAGTATTGCCTATAAATAAAAGGGGATAAATTCAACCTAATGCAATCCCAATGAATGAGTTAGCTAAAAGGTAAAGAAGCGAAAAATATTCCTTATACATATATTGTGGAGTTTGATGTATATACAAGTTGGTATATGATAAAAGATTATATGCTCACACTTAGCAAGATATTTTTTAATTGGTTATTTATTTCTTTTGGTTGGAAGAACAATATTATGAAAAAGTATAAAGTAATTTTTTATTACTTTGTTTATCATGAATTTTTAATTTGTAGCATGCTTTGAGGTTACAATTTATTATTGCTGATTTTTTTCAGGATTTGGAGTTATGGGTATCATTTTCAGATTGCTGAAAATTTATGCTGCAATTGTTGATCTTCTTGTATGAAAAATGATAGGTATTCTAAAGTTGAAATACTTTATCATTAAAGAAGATGTTTAAAAACAATGAATGTCTATTGAATATATAAGCACACAACTTATGATTGCAATCCATTAACGAATACACTACCACCCAAGACATTTATGGAACATGTTAAAAGAATGGGTCTTGAATGTAGTCAATGATGATTATTTTTAATTGTGGATTGCTTAACAGTGCTTATATATATTTGACAATTTGCACTCATTAAATGTGTTTATGATATTTCCTATTAGTTAATGTACATGTACGTATTGCTTTAATAAGTGGTAATAGGAATAGTCTTGGAAAAGACATTATTGTTATATCATTATTGATACTTCTCATTTATAAACTATGTTGAATAGGTTACTAGTGTTGTGGTACATGGAAAGGACTGTGTCATTTAGGGACATATAACCGCCATGACTCACATTGGTAGTTTGTTTACCATGGTATTTATGATGACCAACTTAATACTTTAATATGATTTATGGTGCACACTAATAACTATTTTACTAAACTACTACAGAAATAATCATATGTGCCAAGTGGGAGAATGTAAGATTATTTATTTAATTGTGCTCCACATGATTTGGACATGTGACATATTACTTGGTGGCTAAGTAAATAGATATCAATTAATATTATTTATTTTTGGTCAACTTATAATTACCTTTTTGGTAATTACTTATGGAGAAATGTTTTCCTTTCTTATTCCTTACTTTGATAGAAAGTAAAATTATATTACTAAAAGGAAAACTGGTCATCTTTCTACCTTTATAAAAGTGCATATACTCTATCAATTATGTACAATTAATGATGCAACACGTAAAAGTTCTATGTGTGCAAAAGGCCAAGAGAGATAAACTAGTTTTTACGTTTTGCCTATTGATCGGAGTTGCAGTTTAGTTCGTGGCAGAAATGATCTCGACGTTGGACTTAATCTCTACGATATTTGCAATCATAGATCGAGTATTTATATTTAACTGTATTTATTTATGCATTATAGATATGCTAAAATCATAAAGTTTTAAGATATATGATTCATGTAAATTTGTGATTAATGGCTTAATATGAATTAATTATAGTTTACAAGGTACCTCTGGAATTCATAGCAACTCAATCTCTAAATTAAGCCTTGCATCTCCAGTTTACAATATCTGGACTGAAAGGAATCATCGAATCTTCAAAAAGAAAAGCCTCTCTGCAAATTCAATCATGCACTTCACCTTAGAATCTATCAGAAACAAGCTAATTTCATACTCAATCTCTGACACCCTCAATATCAGAAGAATTGCAACCGAATGGGAGCTCCCCAAGTCTGTCATCCGACCGCCTGTAAAGCCACCGGATCACAGAAACAGAATCTGAGGAATGTAGGCTTCAGCGCCATTGACACCGGATTTGATAGTCTATAACGGCCATTTGTAACTACTCTTTAATTATGTTGAATCTATTGAGTCTGGGTTTTACCATTGGCTTGGTCTCACTTTGGCTGGGTTGGCCTAGGGGCCCTATAATTGAAGTTAGCTTGGGTTAACTACCATTATATTGCCTATATTTTGTGATTAATTTATAAAATTGAAATTTATTTTTCAAAAAAAAAAAAAAAAGAAGAAGTGCTTGAACACCGCAAAATGAGGTCCTTCCAACAATTAGATCTGATATAAAATCCAGCAGCATGTGTGATACCCCTCGGATCCGAGACACGGGTTGATCAGGCCCAGGCCCAAACCCGAGGGAGTATCAAACAATTAATATTTTATAGCGAACACAGAATACAAAATGAATTAAGAAATGAAAGTTTAAAGCTGAAAAGAAACTACAAGTTAATCCTTAAATAATTAAATACTTAAATTTGATAAACCAAATATCCATAATTTGAACAACTCGGGAATCCATCTCTAGTGGACCCCTAATAAAAGTCTCACACTAAATGAAAGTAAAATAAAAGATAAAACCCAAATCCAAGATCTGGAAAGAAACCCTACATCTTCGGTAGAATGGAAGATCGTCTCTGCTCTGCACGAACAAGCTCAAGCCTGGAACTGACGTACACCTGAAAAATAGGAGTGGGTCAGGCCCACGAACAAGTTCTAACCTACTACAATCCAAGCAGAGACTCGATACGCATGTACATACTAAATAGTTCAACAATAACTAATAATCCGTACATAAATATATCCACACTACTGGACTCTCGCTAGGCCATGAAGGGGGTCTCAACCTGGATAGAAGGCATCACACAATACGCACCTGAGTGGGTATGAGTACCTAAACCTAAACAGGGTATACCTCAACCTTCACAGTCAGCTACACATCCAACTGCATATACGCACCCTAACCGTCGACCCTGAGACTCAAGCTCATGACACGGTAACATAAAAATATATCTAAACTCCGTTTCTATCCATCCACCAGAAATCCAGTAAGTCACTCGGCGTAGTCAACCGTACCGACTTATATATATAAGGAGGATTGTAGTTTATAACCCGTGCCCTTACTCCAAAATAGGTAGGACTTAGCAATTTGAGCTAATCCAACCCAGCATGTCACCGTCCCATACCGGTACATACAATCCAATCCGTCCAATAGTTGATAAAGCATCGATAATTATAACAACAATACCAACAATTCCATACTAAACATAATAGAATGCATTAGCAACCATTCTTAAAAATACCAATAATTGATTCACATTGAAAATATAAATATCAATGTCAACTACTCCTTACTATGCATATTGAAATAGATAATCAACATGCTTATTTACATGCACAGTTGACAAAATAATGACCATATAAATGTCAATACCAACAGTCCAAACTAAACATGTTAGAACAGATTAACAAACATGCTTAAGTAAGCCAATTCAGAATCCATAATTTGATCATACAGGGCTTTCTTTACCTATTCCCAGTTTCCATAGAATTAACAGAGCCTAAATAGATATTTTCCCACTCACATCCATAGCATGCAGAATAAATATAAGTAATCTATTATACTTATAGTTTCCTGTCCAACAACTTGCCGCACCAACCGTTAAATTTAATCATCAACTAATTTTCAGTGAAATATAAATTTTTAGCATAGTTTCTATTGTCATGAACATATAATTCGAGTGGACAAGCTCTCACAGAAAATTTCTAATATAATTAAGAAATTAGAAACTCCAAATCTACACAGTCTACAAGACCTTCGTAATTAACTCCATGTAATCCTAATGGTTAACGCTTTGTGTCCAATTTTATATAATCTGGTCTTCGCATATTTATGTTTACCCTAGACCACTCCTAAATCACCCATTACAGTATTCAGTCACCAATAAACACATTAAAACAATCACTAGGAAGCCTAATCACTGGAAAAAAATTTGGAAAAACAACCCACAGAATCAAAACTCACGCATAAACAACCGGGAGCCGGCTCCAGAATATTGGAGCCGCCTCCAATGGCCCTGGAGCCGGCTCCTAGACCATTGGAGCCGCCTCCAGTCCAAGGGGAGCCGGCTCCAATCCAATAGGAGCCGGCTCTCCCCCTCCTCTTCTTCGTGTTCTCCTCTCCGGTCGCCGTTTACGCCTCCGACAATTCACAGTAGAGGTTTACAGAGAGGTTCACTTAATCCTAGAAGATTCCAGTCCTTAACTCAGTCCTTATTATGCTACTAATATGGATTAAACCATGAATTACATAAGACAGTTCAAAGTTAAACAGTTTACAAGTTTTAAACCAAATTCAGTCTCAGTTACACTCCAAGCATGAAACAGATAACGTTTGTTTTATTTTTTAAACATGTAATTCATCCTGGAACCATTGAGTATGCAAAGAACACGAGTATAAGGGAGAGAGTAAGGTTAGAACTTGCCTTGTGAGATTTTTGTTAAAATCTCTACGTTGTCGTCTACACTCGCCGGCGACTCCTACTGCAACTTCCTCTGTTCCTCGTTTCTAATTCCACAGACGTGTTTTGGTTGTATTATTTTGTTCCCTAAGCAGACTTATCTTATATATTTATAGGCAACCAAAACCCTAAGTCCAATTATACCTACAGTCTGAAACGAGGCCCATAAACTCAACCTAGGTTATAAACCTTGTCGGCTCCTTAACCTAAACAGAACTAAAACCCTAACCACACTTTTTTTTACCTAGTCACAAATTAAAACATGTAATTACTAATTTAACAATAAAAATTCCAAGTTAACTACTAATTCAATTAAAGAAACAAATAAAAATTCCAATTAATGTAAAGAATGCAAATAATTAATTAACCCAAAGAAAACAAATAAACTAACTAATTAATTCAAATAACACTGAACAGAAAACAATTAAACAAATTAATGAACCAAAAATAATTAATAAACAAATAAAAATTCCAATTAATGTAAAGAATGCAAATAATTAATTAACCCAAAGAAAACAAATAAACTAACTAATTAATTCAAATAACACTGAACAGAAAACAATTAAACAAATTAATGAACCAAAAATAATTAATAAACAGAAAACAATTAAACAAATTACCGAGACTATCCTTTCAAAAATTAGGGGTATTACATTCTTCCCCCCTAACAAAAGGAATTCCGTTCTCGGAATTCGCTCTTACTTTCTTCCAAAATATCAGGAAACTGCGAGCGAATGACATCTTCCCGTTCCCAAGTAGACTCAGCCTCATTGTGATGACTCCACTGAACACGAACCAAAGGAATAACCTTATTACGAAGAATCTGATCTCGTCGGTCGACAATACGACACGGTGGCTCTAAATAAGTTGCATCCGGTTGCAACTCAATTTCCCCAACATCGATATACTGATATCGATCCTCATCTCGCAGAAATTTTCGCAACATGGAAACATGAAACACGTTGTGAATGCGATCCAAAGTATCTGGAAGTGCCAACCGATAAGCGACAGCTCCAACGCGATCCGTAATCATGAATGGACCGACAAACCGCGGAGACAACTTCCCTTTCTTCCCAAAACGCATAACACCCTTCATAGGAGATACTTTAAGAAGAACCTGATCCCCAACTTGAAACTCCAAAGCACGAGTGCGACGATCAGCATAGCTCTTCTGTCTACTTTGGGCAGTACGCATGCGATCTCGAATAAGAGCAATCTTTTCAGAGGTATCCTTGATGAACTCAGGACCTAAGAATCGATTCTCTCCAACCTCCATCCAACAAACAGGTGATCGACACGGTCGACCGTATAACGCCTCAAAAGGTGCCATCCCAATAGTCTTCTGGAAACTATTGTTATAAGCAAACTCCACAAGTGGCAAATATTCCTCCCAGTGGCCCTTGAAATCCAGAACACACGACCGAAGCATATCTTCCATAATCTGATTCACCCTCTCAGTCTGTCCGTCAGTCTGAGGATGATAAGCAGTACTAAGGTGTAACTCCGTACCTAAAGCCTGCTGAAAACTCTTCCAAAATCCAGATACAAAGCTCGAATCCCTGTCCGATATAATAGACAATGGAATGCCATGTAGCTTCACAATCTCTGAAATGTAAAGCCTCGCCAACTGCTCCGAAGTGTAGTCAGTGCAAATAGGCAAGAAATGAGCTGACTTGGTCAACCTATCCACAACGACCCATATGGAATTATGCCCCTTGAAAGAATTTGGCAACCCTTCCACAAAATCCATAGATATGCTCTCCCATTTCCACTCCGGAATTGGTAGTGACTGTAGAGCTCCTGGCGGCCTCTGATGATCAATCTTAACCATCTGACAAGTACTACACTGAGAAACAAAAAGAGCAATGTCCCTCTTCATACCTGCCCACCAAAATTGCCGCTTCATATCTTGATACATCTTATCGCCTCCTGGATGAATAGAGAACTCAGAGTGATGAGTCTCAGTCATCACATCCTTCCTCAAATTATCAGCAGAAGGTACCACTAACCGTCCCTTGTACCTTAAACCTCCATCAGCCCCAACATGGTAGAATGGAACCTCTCCGGAAGCTATCTCTGTGACCTTGTCGACACATTGCTGATCAGTGAGTTGTGCTTGTAAAACCTTGCGAATGATGGAAGGTGTAACCACCATGCAAGCCATAAAAGCATCTGACAACTCATCTACATTCTTCAAAGCATTCCACTCAGTAGTGAATAGAGCAGAAAGACTACCAACGGGTCGGCGACTGAGTGCATCCGCCACCACATTCGCTTTCCCTGGATGGTACTGTATAGAGAAATGATAGTCTTTTACAAACTCCAACCATCTGCGCTGTCTCATATTCAGCTCCCGCTGAGTGAACAAGTACTGCAGACTCTTGTGATCACTGAATAATCTGAAAGACTCACCCAACAGATAATGCCTCCAAATACGCAAGGCAAAGACCACTGCTGCCAATTCCAAATCATGTGTCGGATAATTAAGCTCATGAGGCTTAAGTTTCCGAGATCCATAAGAAATCGGTCACTCCTCCTGCATCAATACACATCCAAGACCCTGCAACGATGCATCCGTGTAAACAAGATACTCTATCCCGCTTTGCGGAGTAGCCAGAACCGGTGCAGAAGTCAACTTCCTTTTCAGCTCATCAAAAGCCCGCTGACAGTGTTCATCCCACACGAACTGTACACCCTTCTTGGTCAAATGAGTGAGTGGTCCTGCTATCTTGGAGAACCCCTGGATGAATCTCCTGTAATATCCTGCCAGACCGAGAAAACTCCGAATCTCTGTAGGTGATGTAGGCTGTCCCCACTCAACCACCGCCGAAACCTTGGCCGGATCCACTGCGATCCCCTTTTCTGACACCACGTGACCCAGAAATTTCACCTCCCGCTGCCAAAATTCACACTTCTCGAACTTGGCATACAACTGGTGTTCACGAAGCGTCTGCAAGACTATGCGAAGATGTCTAGCATGATCGTCCTCCGACCGAGAATAGATCAAGATGTCATCAATAAAGACAATAACAAATTGATCCAAATAAGCCCGGAAGACTCTATTCATTAAATCCATGAACACTGCAGGTGCATTAGTCGTCCCAAACGGCATAACACGAAACTCATAAGAACCATATCTCGTGAGAAACGCTGTCTTAGGAACATCCTGCTCCCTAACCCTCAGCTGATGATACCCAGAACACAGATCAATTTTGGAGAAGTATGTGGCTCCCCTTAACTGATCAAACAAGTCATCAATCCTTGGCAAAGGATACTTGTTACGAATCGTAACCTTGTTCAACTCCCTGTAATCTATACATAGACGAAGCGAACCATCCTTCTTCTTCACAAACAGAACCGGTGCTCCCCAAGGTGATGTACTCCTACGAATAAAACCCTGGCTGAGTAACTGCTGAATCTGATCCCTCAGCTCTCTCATCTCCACCGGTGCCATCCTATAGGGTGCCCTAGCAATAGGCGCAGTGCCTGGAGCTAGGTCTATCACAAAATCGATCTCGCGACTAGGTGGCAACCCTGGAATATCCTGAAATACATCCGGGAAATCCTGTACAATTGGTATGTTATCCAATGACACAGTAATCCCCTCATCCTTTTCCTCCTCCACATGGAACAAATAGGTGCTACCGCCTCCTTTAGAACGTGGCATAACTACTACGTACATATCCTGACCAGGTATGGTAAAAATAATAGATCTATCAAAACAATCAACTTGGGCATGGTAGTGAGACAACCAATCCATCCCAAGTATCACGTCATAAGTGTGCATGTCCAGGACCAATAGATTGGCTAGAAATCTGAGTCTGCCAATATCTAGTGTCACAGGCCCATCACTCTCATGTATAATAGCTGTATCACCCAATGGTGTAGAAATACCCTGAGGTCTAGTGCATACCCTCGTCCTCATCCCAGATAAAGCAACAAAAGTCCTAGCTACAAATGAGTGTGTAGCACCCGTATCAAATAAAACACGTCCATATAAACCATGAATAGGAAACTTACCCTCAATAGTCTGAGGTGCCTGAACATCCTGTGGCTTGGGGTTATACACCCTGCCATAATGCAACTGCTGTGGCGCCTGTCCCTGAGTCTGCGGCGGTGCCGGTAAAGCCAGATGTGTCTGTCCCTGAATCCGTGGAACCTGTGGAGCTGGTAGAGGCACTGGCGCCCTCTGTCCCTGCTGCACATACTGTCCATGTCCCTGTCCCTGTCCTGCTTTAGGACACTGCCTGGTGGTATGACCATACTCTCCACAAGTGTAACAACTACCCTGGAAAGTACCAAATGGCCTCCTCTGTCGGTTAGCCTGTGGCTGACCCTGTCCTGCCTGTGGTCCCCCATTCTGTTGCCTCTGAATAGGTGCCCCATTCCGATGAGCATCTGAACCACCCTTGTGCTTCTTCCAAGGCTGTTGCCCTTAAAACTTGCCTTTGTCATTCTGCCGGTGACCATTGCCATTCCCCTTTTCAGCTGACTGATTAGTAGAGTCTTTATCTCCTCGCTTCTCACCACGAGCCTGTCTGATGTCCACAGTCAACTGATACTGTTGTAGAGCAGCGTCTACCACCTGAGCATAGGTAGTATAGGCTGGACTACCTGTAATAGCTCTCTTGATAGACCACATCAGTCCCTTGACAAAACTGTTGCGCTTCTTTTCCTCTGTATCCACCTCCTCCGGTGCAAAGAGAGACAAGCGTGTGAACTGCTGCTCATACTCCGCCACTGTCATGTTTCCCTGCTGCAGACTTAGAAACTCGGTCTTCATAGCTGCCCTGACTGCATAGGGAAAATATTTCTCATCAAAGCGAGCACTGAACTCATCATAAGACAATGTCATCCTCTCATCTGAGGTGGTAACTGACTCCCACCACTGTAGTGCATCCCCAACTAACTTGAAAGTAGCAAGCATCTGCTTCTGAACCTCCGTGCACTGAACCAAACGAAGATGACGCTCAATGTCCTGTTTCCACTGGTGAGCTGCTCTCGCATCGGTTGAGCCTGAGAACACAGGTGGGCTCCCCTTTGTGAAGGCGCTCCTAGCCTTTCCCCAAGAATCCGTCTGAACCACTGGTGCTGGTACAGGTGCCTGCTGAACCTGTGGTTGGTTTCGGAGTACAGCTGTTACCCCAGCCTCTATAGCCCGAGCAACGAGGTCATTGAGGTGAGGAGGAATCTCTGGATCTCTGTCCCGACCCTGAGTCTGTTGAACTTCCTCCTGCTCCTCCTGAAACCCTGGCATTTGCTGCTCTTCTTCTATTTGCTGACGCTGTAGGAGATATTGTTGCCTCCGTGCCGCTCTCCTTTCCTTCCTAGTTCCTTGCATGTTCTGTCCATTTCTAGCGTTAACCATCTGTTAACACGAAAAGACAGACATCAGTACTATTTCTATACGAATCATAAGGAATACAATGAATCCTAACTTAAGCTCTATTCAAGAGAACGCTACGCGGAAGACTTAATATGAAAACATCCTAGAGACACTTGAACCTGGAGTGCTCTGATACCAACTGTGATACCCCTCGGATCCGAGACACGGGTTGATCAGGCCCAGGCCCAAACCCGAGGGAGTATCAAACAATTAATATTTTATAGCGAACACAGAATACAAAATGAATTAAGAAATGAAAGTTTAAAGCTGAAAAGAAACTACAAGTTAATCCTTAAATAATTAAATACTTCAATTTGATAAACCAAATATCCATAATTTGAACAACTCGGGAATCCATCTCTAGTGGACCCCTAATAAAAGTCTCACACTAAATGAAAGTAAAATAAAAGATAAAACCCAAATCCAAGATCTGGAAAGAAACCCTACATCTTCGGTAGAATGGAAGATCGTCTCTGCTCTGCACGAACAAGCTCAAGCCTGGAACTGACGTACACCTGAAAAATAGGAGTGGGTCAAGCCCACGAACAAGTTCTAACCTACTACAATCCAAGCAGAGACTCGATACGCATGTACATACTAAATAGTTCAACAATAACTAATAATCCGTACATAAATATATCCACACTACTGGACTCTCGCTAGGCCATGAAGGGGGTCTCAACCTGGATAGAAGGCATCACACAATACGCACCTGAGTGGGTATGAGTACCTAAACCTAAACAGGGTATACCTCAACCTTCACAGTCAGCTACACATCCAACTGCATATACGCACCCTAACCGTCGACCCTGAGACTCAAGCTCATGACACGGTAACATAAAAATATATCTAAACTCCGTTTCTATCCATCCACCAGAAATCCAGTAAGTCACTCGGCGTAGTCAACCGTACCGACTTATATATATAAGGAGGATTGTAGTTTATAACCCGTGCCCTTACTCCAAAATAGGTAGGACTTAGCAATTTGAGCTAATCCAACCCAGTATGTCACCGTCCCATACCGGTACATACAATCCAATCCGTCCAATAGTTGATAAAGCATCGATAATTATAACAACAATACCAACAATTCCATACTAAACATAATAGAATGCATTAGCAACCATTCTTAAAAATACCAATAATTGATTCACATTGAAAATATAAATATCAATGTCAACTACTCCTTACTATGCATATTGAAATAGATAATCAACATGCTTATTTACATGCACAGTTGACAAAATAATGACCATATAAATGTCAATACCAACAGTCCAAACTAAACATGTTAGAACAGATTAACAAACATGCTTAAGTAAGCCAATTCAGAATCCATAATTTGATCATACAGGGCTTTCTTTACCTATTCCCAGTTTCCATAGAATTAACAGAGCCTAAATAGATATTTTCCCACTCACATCCATAGCATGCAGAATAAATATAAGTAATCTATTATACTTATAGTTTCCTGTCCAACAACTTGCCGCACCAACCGTTAAATTTAATCATCAACTAATTTTCAGTGAAATATAAATTTTTAGCATAGTTTCTATTGTCATGAACATATAATTCGAGTGGACAAGCTCTCACAGAAAATTTCTAATATAATTAAGAAATTAGAAACTCCAAATCTACACAGTCTACAAGACCTTCGTAATTAACTCCATGTAATCCTAATGGTTAACGCTTTGTGTCCAATTTTATATAATCTGGTCTTCGCATATTTATGTTTACCCTAGACCACTCCTAAATCACCCATTACAGTATTCAGTCACCAATAAACACATTAAAACAATCACTAGGAAGCCTAATCACTGGAAAAAAATTTGGAAAAACAACCCACAGAATCAAAACTCACGCATAAATAACCGGGAGCCGGCTCCAGAATATTGGAGCCGCCTCCAATGGCCCTGGAGCCGGCTCCTAGACCATTGGAGCCGCCTCCAGTCCAAGGGGAGCCGGCTCCAATCCAATAGGAGCCGGCTCTCCCCCTCCTCTTCTTCGTGTTCTCCTCTCCGGTCGCCGTTTACGCCTCCGACAATTCACAGTAGAGGTTTACAGAGAGGTTCACTTAATCCTAGAAGATTCCAGTCCTTAACTCAGTCCTTATTATGCTACTAATATGGATTAAACCATGAATTACATAAGACAGTTCAAAGTTAAACAGTTTACAAGTTTTAAACCAAATTCAGTCTCAGTTACACTCCAAGCATGAAACAGATAACGTTTGTTTTATTTTTTAAACATGTAATTCATCCTGGAACCATTGAGTATGCAAAGAACACGAGTATAAGGGAGAGAGTAAGGTTAGAACTTGCCTTGTGAGATTTTTGTTAAAATCTCTACGTTGTCGTCTACACTCGCCGGCGACTCCTACTGCAACTTCCTCTGTTCCTCGTTTCTAATTCCACAGACGTGTTTTGGTTGTATTATTTTGTTCCCTAAGCAGACTTATCTTATATATTTATAGGCAACCAAAACCCTAAGTCCAATTATACCTACAGTCTGAAACGAGGCCCATAAACTCAACCTAGGTTATAAACCTTGTCGGCTCCTTAACCTAAACAGAACTAAAACCCTAACCACACTTTTTTTTACCTAGTCACAAATTAAAACATGTAATTACTAATTTAACAATAAAAATTCCAAGTTAACTACTAATTCAATTAAAGAAACAAATAAAAATTCCAATTAATGTAAAGAATGCAAATAATTAATTAACCCAAAGAAAACAAATAAACTAACTAATTAATTCAAATAACACTGAACAGAAAACAATTAAACAAATTAATGAACCAAAAATAATTAATAAACAAATAAAAATTCCAATTAATGTAAAGAATTCAAATAATTAATTAACCCAAAGAAAACAAATAAACTAACTAATTAATTCAAATAACACTGAACAGAAAACAATTAAACAAATTAATGAACCAAAAATAATTAATAAACAGAAAACAATTAAACAAATTACCGAGACTATCCTTTCAAAAATTAGGGGTATTACAGCATGCTGGATGAAATCCCAAATTAAGCTACTAAATTTACATTTGAAGAAGATATGGTCAATTGATTTTTATTCAAGGAGGCACAGATAACATGCAATGGTGAAGTGCTTGTGCCTCATTGGTTTGGTATCCAGTGTGTAGAGTCTCTCTTTGATTGCTAGCCAAGTAATGTGTCTTTGCTTAGGGATGTGATGCTTGAACCAAATGAGCTAGTGTCTATGCTGTGGAAAATCCAATGTGTATACTTGGTAACCAATCAATCAAATCAGGTAACAATGATGAGAATTACAAGCTTTGAATTTGAGTAATGAAGGAGTTAGAGTGAAAGAAAGGAACCTGTTGTAGAAATGCTGGGACTGCCCATTGAGAGTTAGAAATTAGACTATTAACCTTGACACTTGTGTCAAGTTGAAAATTTTCCACCTTAAAGAGGCACAGTGTACAAAGTGGACCATTTGGTAGCCAAGAATCCAACCACATCATAGTGTCTGTTCCGGCTCCAATTATGTGCTTGATTACCCCTCTAGCATGTCTCTCAGCCTTAGTAATTTCCTCCAAAAACCATGATAATGTTGATAATTTTTTAATAACATAATTTTTACACGTCATTTATTAGCCATCGGCTCATTACTAGAATAGATTGGTTGTCATTTTAGTTAGGTATATAAAAGAATTTGTCATTATGCAGTTAACTTAAAACAATCTATTTTCCTTATAAAGTACGTGAAGCCATGCAAATGTTGAAATTTTTTGGATGACACAATGTTTACACGGTATTTATTAGCCATCAGCCCGTTACAGCCGGTACAAATAAGTTGTCATTTTGGTCAGGTATATAAATGAATTTGTCATTACTCAGGTACCAAACAGTTTATTTTTTGTTATACGGTAAAGCCATGCAAATGTTGAAATTTTTTTGATGATATAATTTTTAAATGGCATTTATTAGTCACTAGATCAATGTATGTATTGACCGGTTGCCATTTTAGTTAGATATATAAAATAATTTGTCATTACACAGTTAAC